CCAAGACCTGAAAGTAATGAGGTGTGAGAGGGTGGAAGGACTGTCCAATATGTAACTGCTCAATCAGGGCAGTCTCACCATTGATTAATCTATGTATTCTCATAGATTCTCATTGTTTTTATAGTGTATATTGTTGCATATTTAAGCTTGAAGTGGCCGTGTGTCTGTACGATGGTCAATATGGCACCTTGACTTTCCATCCCAGTGGTATTATAAGATCATATGTCTTCTCAGCTGATGGACCGCAGCCCCAGTAAACCTACAAAATAATTGATCCTGGAGCACTGAAGACACAAAAATAATCAAAAAGGCATCACTGCAGTCATTGGGCCATTGCAAGGTCAAATATGCAAAAATAATCAGGTGGGTGAAGGAGTTCAAGTATCTCAAGGTCTTGTTCTCGAGTGAGGGCAGGACGGAGCTCAGTCACATGGGAGGAGCTTAGAGTAGAGCCGCTGCTTCTCCACGTCGAGAGAAACCAGTTGAGGTGGCTCCAGCATCTGTTCCGAATGCCTCATGAACGCCTACCTGGGGAGGAGTTTTGGGCATGTCCCACCGGGAGGAGACCCCGGGGAAGACCCAGGACTTGCTGGAGGGATTCTCTATAAATTTACAGCTACACTTTCTACTGTCATTGCACTGTAACACCGAAATGTTATCTAAACACATCAGTCATGAAAAAAAGTACTCCAACTTTAACTTCAAATAAATACTATAAATGAAAGTCACTTGATTGTTTTTTTTTCTCAAGCGTAAAACAATTTAGTTACTGTTTTTTGTTTAGTTTTAATGCATAAAATCTCCTTTGACGATTGTTTTAGTGGTTTTTGTCACATCAGTATTTGGACAAAGAGATGCATGGTCTCCTGCCACACTGTTTAATGTTTATCTGGTTTGTGATCAAATAAGCCTCACTGAACAGGCAGTTCTGTGCTGCTGCTGCTGAAGTGGCAGTTTTTTTCTGCACAAACTACACACTGCTGGAAACGAAGATCCATCATCAGTCTGCAGCACTGACCACCACCTCTGCAACTAGCCTCACTATCTTTGGCCTTGGGGAATTATTTTATTGACCAGAGATGAACAATTTCTCAGCTTTAACAGTAAAGTCAGTAACCTTGTGGAATTTATTTTTTGTAGGATGGAAGTACGGCTTGGTTTGGTTGGGATCATTTGGACGATTGTGCCTTTTGTTCATGCTTGATGGGTGAAACTAGACTCCCCAGAGAAAACCCACAGGAGTGACGAGCAAATAATTCCACACAAAATGCCCGGGCAGGCCTAGAGTTGAAACTCAGAGAATCGTGCCACCAAGAAAGTCTTTTTTTAATCCTTCTTTGGATGAGAATTTGTTAGATGCAGTGGTTCTTCTGATGCCCTCTCCGTTCGTAGTTCACACCGCCATTTCCCAGTTCGCTTTGTTCTTTTAGCATTTCAAAGCTTTTTTTCCGATTGCCTCTGAAAAAAGCTTGGATATGTTGAATTTAAATTGCAAATTTTGTCTGAATTGTCATAAATAGTAGCACTCAGGTTTCCCACCTTTGATTATGCTCGAGCTAGAGAAAGTAAAGTGTCAGTCAAACACATTCACCCGCAAATGGTACTGGTATGATACTGTCCGAAGTGATGTCAACGTTCAGTTATAGTAACCAAAAATAAACCTGGATCTAGTAGGGTAGTTTAAACAATAAGCTACAGGTTAGCAGCCTACAGGTTTTAACTAGTTTTCTTTGGTAAATATACATCAATGTCTTGTTACCTACATGTTCAAGCAGAGATTTCATGTAGACAATTAAGGCCCCGTCTACACGTAGCAGGGTATCTCACAAACCGAAGATATTTTCCTACGATCTGGCCTATCATCCACACAAACCCGGAGTTTTCTGTCGATAAAAACGAAGGTTTCTGAAAACTCCGGCCAAAGTGAAGATTTGGGAATTCTCCGGTTATGCGTTTGAGTGTGGACATAAATAACCGGAGTATTCGGCTGTACGTCACTACCAGCGTGCTGCTCTGACGTCACACGCGCGACCTGTGTTTACATCAGAAACAACATGGAGGCCATCAAAACCGCTTTTGTTTTAACGATTGTTCAGGCACTTTTTGCTTGCTTGTTTTTACAAGCTCAAATACTGCTTCATGTTGAAGAGCACAGACGAAGGAGCACTTTAAGGTCGGCTATTTTCCGCCAAATAACCATCCCTCGTCCAAGACATGTTCCTCGTCAAAGACGGCAACGGCAATTTTGGGTCAGACCGGGACGCACTGCCAGCTGGTGGGAGAACTTTGAGATGGAAGTCGTCCTCCCGGAGGAAGGTAGGTTTGTAGGTTTGAAATGTAATTGACAACGCATGTATGCGGTTAGGTGTGGATGCCGTTTTTTAAAAAACCGAGGCTGTGTGGACAGAAGTTTTTTTTTAGGCGGAGGGCGGATTTATAAATGCCCTGCTACGTGTAGACAGGGCCTAAATACAGTCCCAAAACACCACTTTTTCCAAGAGTGCTGAAGTCATCATTGTCAAAAGCGGAAGAAGCTGATTTCAACATTTAAGGGCATTTGTTGTGTTGGCATTTTAGCATGTGTTGCTAACGTGGTCGCTAAGGCAGGCAGGAGTTTACCCTGCGCTTGAAGACATCTAATTGCTCAGTCCTTGGCTCACATCTGGCTTTAAAATTATAATATCTAAATATAAACAGCAGGATCATAGAGAGTGCTAATCCAAGTCCAAAATGGTGAGTGTGACACAAACGGTTGCTGAGCTAGATGTTTACTTTTCCAGGTGGGCCAATAGGAGCCAAAACAAGTAGGAGCAAAACTTTGTCCATTAGCACTTCCCTATTGGGCTTCAAAAAGGTGGAGTTTGCCATTGTCCATCTATATACATTCTATGGGGGCTATGCAATGTCTCAGCATACTGAGCTATTCTCACCGACAGACCCATGTGACAAAATAACAACCTTATTCCCTAATAAACTGCTTGGTCATCATTGTCACTTATTTATCACTGTGGTACATATTTTGGACCAATGTCATGTCAGCATCTTATCACAAACTAATGCAACAGAGACTGAGCCTTGGACCAGAGCCGTTCTGATGTGTCTGCAGATTTCAACTGCCCCCCACCCGCCCTCGTGATGCCCCAGCACCAGGACACAGGACACTTAACACGATCTGCTGACCCCATTTCCCATTAGACATCCTGTTAAACTGTAATGAGAACTTTGTTAGCTCCGTTCTTGTGTTCCACTGATCTCTGCTCTCACTGCTCCTTACTGGGATCCTGGGATAGAATTATTAAGGTTTTATACTATGCACGGCAAGGCAAGTTTATTTGTATAACAAAATTCATACACAAGGCAACTCAAAGTGCTGTACAAAAGAAGATAAATTAAAAAAATCACACAAGGTATCATAACCATAAATTATCACAGCATATTAAAAAATACAAATTATAAATAGCCCCTCAGTTATATGCACAGCTAAACCCTGCACTTATTTTTAATTGTGAACAGTGTCTTGATCTATCCGGCCTGAGATGAAGTAGCTCTGGCTGCTCTCTTTAATTCATGCTTGAATAGCAGGAGGCTTGTCTAATCAGGTGCCCTGCCAACTACCCAATTATCAAATCTCTGCTATTTTTGGCCATTGAAGAAACCCAATTCTCCAGACAATTTCTGATCTTTTTGAGTGGTCCACTTCCCGTACAACCTACATACCGATAACACTCCTTTTTAAACGTTGATAGTTTAGGCACATTCTCACTTTTCTTTTCTTTTGGAGGAAGCAGAAGTGGAACAGAATTGGGTCACATATGTGCTACACTGCCAAGTCTGAAATGTACAGGAAGCCGGTGCAAACAAACATTGCAAGGAGGCGGGAATCATTGAGCCATGAAGCTCAAAGCTGTTGAAGACTGGTCTGTATTTGGTCGGATATGAGACTAGAAACTTGCAATGGCTGAAGCCATTGCGATTGACTGCGGAACAGATCTAATGTGGAAATCTGCTAAAAAAAATCCTTGAAATCCTTTAAAAGGCCTTGAAACTGTTAAAATACTTGATAGATATTTGAAACTCCTGAAGTCCTTGAAATTGTTGAAACCTTTAAACTCCTGAAATCCTTGAAACTGTTGAAACATTGAAACTCCTGAAATCCTTGAAACTTTTTTTAAACCTGGAAACTGTTGAAAGTGTGGAAACTCCTGAAATCCTTGAACCTCCTGATATCCTTGAAACTGGTTAAATTCTTAAACAGTTGAAATCCTTGAAACTACTGAATGTATTGAATGAGTGTCCTTGAAACTGAAAAATCCCCTCACGCGCTGAAACAATTGGTTCCTGTAACTAAGGAAACCTGGTCTGTGTCATTATCTGGTGGTGGTCTGAGTCTTCGTTTGGGTCTTGGTCTGGTGGTATAATGACAACCTATTAGGTTGCATTAATACTGGTTTTACATGGAAAAATCCCTATTAGGTTGCATTATACTGGTTTACATGGAAAAATCCCTATTAGGTTGCATTATACTGGTTTACATGGAAAAATCCCTATTAAGTTGCATCTATACTGGTTTTACATGGAAAAAATCTCTATTAAGTTGCATTATACTGGTTTACATGGAAAAAGTCCCTATTAGGTTGCATTATACCTGGTTTACATGTACAAATCCCTATTAAGTTGCTTTATACTGGTTTACATGTAAAAACTCCCTATTAGGTTACATTATAGTGGTTTACCATACATAGTAAAAATCCTTATTAATTGCATTATACAGGTTTACATGTAAAAACCCCTATTAAGTTCCATTATACTGTTTACATGTAAAAACCCCTATTAAGCTTCCATAATAACAGGTTTACATGTAAAAACCCTATAAGTTGCATTAATACTGGTTTACATGGAAAAATCCCTATTAAGTTGCATAATACTGTTTTAACATGTAAAAAATCCCCATTAAAATTTGCCTTATACTGGTTTACATGAAAAAAACCCTATTAAGTTGC